ATTGCCTTTCTTAGGGATTGGAATGAAAACTGACCTTTTCCAGTCCTGTGGCCACTGCTGAGTTTTCCAAATTTGCTGGCATATTGAGTGCAGCACTTTCACAGCATCATCTTTCAGGATTTGAAATAGCTCAGCTGGAATTCCATCACCTCCACTAGCTTTGTTCATAGTGATGCTTTCTAAGGTCCACTTGACTTCACATTCCAGGATGTCTGGCTCTAGGTGAGTGATCACACCATCGTGATTTTCTGAGTCGTGAAGATCTTTTTTGTACAGGTCTTCTGTGTATTCTTGCCATCTCTTTTTAATATCTTCTGCTTCTCTTAGGTCGATACCATTTCTGTCCTTTATTGAGACCATCTTTGCATGAAATGTTCCCTTGGTATCTCTAATTTTCTGGAAGAGATTTCTAGTCTTTCCTATTCTGTTGTTTTCCTCTATTTCTTTGCATTGATCGCTGAGGAAGGCTTTCTGATCTCTCCTTGCTCTTCTTTGGAACTCTGCATTCAGATGGGAATAGCTTTCCTTTTCTCCTTTGCCTTTCACTTCTCTTCTTTTCACAGCTGTTTGTGAAATGGCTCCTCAGACAGCCATTTTGCTTTTTTGCATTTCTTTTTCTTGGGGATGATCTTGATCCCTGTCAGGAGACAATGTCATGAACCTCTGTCCATAGTTCATCAGGCTCTCTGTCTATCAGATCTAGTCCCTTAAATCTATTTCTCACTTCCACTGTATAGTCATAAGGGATTTGATTTAGGTCATACCTCAATGGTCTAGTGGTTTCCCCCACTTTCTTCAATTTAAGTCTGAATTTTGCAATAAGGAGTTCATGATCTGAGCCACAGTCAGCTCCCTGTCTTATTTCTGCTGACTGTATAGAGCTTCTCCATCTTCAGCTGCAAAGAATGTAATCAGTCTTGTTTCGGTGTTGACCATCTGGTGATGTCCATGTGTAGAGTATTCTCTTGTGTTGTTGGAAGACAGTATTTGCTAGGACCAGTGCGTTCTCTTGGCAGAACTCTATGAGCCTTTGCCCTGCTTCATTCTGTACTCCAAGGCCAAATTTGCCTATTACTCCAGGTGTTTCTTGCCTTCCTACTTTTGCATTCCAATCCCCTATAATGAAAAGAACATCTTTAGGGGGGTGTTAGTTCTAAAAAGTCTTGTAGGTCTTCATAGAACAGTTCAACTTCAGCTTCTTCAGCGTTACTGGTTGGGGCATAGACTTGGATTACCATGATATTGCATCAACAAAACAACTCCTTAAATGATAACGTTCCTTACTGATCTTGTAAGGGGTCACACCATCCATCAGGATGATGCCTAGATTGGATAATGTAAACTGTTTCAACAATACGTCATTTGATGTACAGCCTTCTGGTGAAGGATAGGAAGGCTGGCGTGCCTGGTGTCCACAGGATCGCAAAGACTCAGACAACAACAACAGAGCAACTGAACCTCTTCTGTCTCAAAAAATTCATATAACTGTGCCTTGACTTCTAACCGGGAGGAACAGTTCTCAGACCTCTGAAATGCTCTTCCTGAGTTATAATCCTTAAATTTGGCTTGAAGAAAATTTTCCATTTCTTTCTTAGATCAACTCACTATTTTTTAATTGACAGTTATCATAGAGGAAACTTTACAGCCAGGTTGGAAGGAATCTATCGCCTTCCTCTCTTAAGTGAACTGCAACTCCTGTTTCTGACACCCCGCTTCAACTAAGCAGGACCAGCGCCACCAGACCAGGACGAAAAGATAGCAACATCTGAAGCAGAGAGCTGACCCAAGATGTTTGACCAGGCTTGTGTACCAGTTACTTTGATAATTGTTCACACTTTTGCTTAGGAACCAAATGTATTTCTCCCTTGGGTTCAGTCACCTATGGGTAGTTTCGGAATCAGTCCCTGCCAATCTGCCTTTAACGTGAGCACACTGGTTTTAATCTGTTTTCCTATGCTATGACCATTTGGCAGCAGTTTCTGTTCCTTCACTTGGCATTTTGTTCAGTCGCTCAGTTGTGTCCGACTCTGCGACCCCATGGACTGCACCACGCCAGGCTTCCCTGTCCATCACTAACTCCCAGTTTACTCAGACTCATGTCCATCGAGTCGGTGATGCCATCCAGCCATCTCATCCTCTGTCGTCCCCTTCTCCTCCCACCTTCAATCTTTCCCAGCATCAGAGTCTTTTCCAGTGAGTCAGCTCTTCATGTCAGGTGGCCAAAGTACTGGAGCTTCAATTTCAGTATCAGCCCATCCAATGAATATTCAAAGTTGATTAACCAGAGACCTTTAACAAAATTTACTCAGCTTTGAATGACAGTAATCACATCATTAGCTTGTCCAGTTCAGAAGTCTTCATGATGAGAAAATCCATCCTATAGAAGCATGTGGCCCTAAGCTCTCTAACTGCTTCCCATGGGGGCACTGGTGTTATGATACTGAATATCAGGTTTTTATACCTGATGCGTCTTCTAACATAATTCATCTTATGATACGTGTAAGAATCAAATCTCAGCTCTGAATGATCCTGTCCCCGGTAGGGGAGATGTAAGGGACGATGGTACGCTTCAGGAGGATCTCTGTGCACCTGCATTTCTTTTTTTCTTCTATGTGAACACAATTCCTCTTCTTAAAGAAAAGACTGTCAGGGGTTTCTGTGGAGGCTCAGTGATAAAGAATCCACCTGTCAAGGCAGGAAACATGGGTTTGATCCTGATCTGGGAGGATCCTACCTGCCACAGAGCAACGAAGCCTGTGCACCACAACTATTGGGTCTGTGCTCTGGTGACCAGGAGCCCACGTGCCTAGACCAGTGCTCCGAAGAGCAGCCACTGTGATGAGACGCCTGGGCACCGAAACCAGCCCGAGCAGCAGTGAGGACCATGCACAGCCAAGAACAGCCAAAAACAAACACACACATTAAAAAATACACAGACTGTATGAGGAGCCATCCTCGGTTTAATCAGTTTTCCCACGGCCTTTGTTTTCCAGGTCTTTGTGACCCCATGGACTGCAGCGCACCAGGCTTCCCTGTCCTTCCTGGAGCTTGCTCAAACTCATGTCCATCAGGTCGGTGATGCCATCCCACCATCTCATCCTCTGTCGTCCCCTTCTCCTCCCGCCCTCCATCTTTCCTGCATCATGGTCTTTTCCAATGAGTCAGTTCTTTGCATCAGGTGGCCAAAGTATTGGAGTTNCAGCATCAGGGTCTTTTCCAATGAGTCAGTTCTTTGCATCAGGTGGCCAAAGTATTGGAGTTTCAGCTTCAGCATCAGTCCTTCCAGTGAATATTCAGGACTGATTTCCTTTACTGTCTTTTTTTTTTTCCCGGCTGCATGGCATGTCCATCCCACCACACACCTATCCCTTCACCCTACCCAGCCTTGCCACACACCTGTCTGTCCGTCTTGCCCCACAGTGACTCATCAGATGCCCACACAGCTCCCCCCAAACACACCCCACAACACAAGCACCCAGCTCCCCCTTCACTCACAGGAGTTCACTCTTCACATGCCCGCCCAGCTCGCCCAGCATGCCAGCTGGGGGAGGGTGCTGTGAGACCTGAAAGCCCCTGCGTGCCGCCCCCAGGGCCCCCACTGCCCAGGTGACCTGCTCCCACCCCCTCTGCTCTCCTATGCATCTTCCAGAGCATTCTCCCAGCCTGCAGTCCAGGCCGAGACCCTAGCCTAGACCCCAGGAATGCAAGCTTCCCAGATGCCTGGCTCAGAAATCCCGGGGAGGGGCCCCAACAGTCCGTGCTCCGATTGTGGGCGGGGGATCGGGAATGCCGGCACAAGTCTGCGGACCTCCGGCGAGACCAGAGGTAAGCTAACCAGGACTCAGCTATTCCCCTAAGTGAACATGACCAGGCCATCTCACCCACACCCCGACATCCAGGGAGGTGTGGGGAGAGGCTGGGAGAGAGCCGCGGCCCCAGGCAGCTGGCCTTCCGGGGGCAGATGGCGCCCACCCCTCAGTCCACCCCGGGGCAGGCGTCTGGTCCCGGCTCGGCCTCACTTCTCTGAACACCAGCTCTGCACCCCAGTGCCTCCCTGCTCCCCGCTGAGCCCAGTGACCGGGGGAGCAGCTGCTGGTCACCTGGGACTTCCCCAGTTGGGAGGCTGCAGGCTCCAGGGCAGGGCCGTCAAGGCAAACTGGGCATCAGATGCTGGCTTTGCCCCGCCAGGGCTCTCTGAGCTGTGGCCGGCCAGGCCACCGACCATGGACAAAGGGCTGCCTGGAAGGCGCAGGACTGCAGAGCAAGGGCCCGGGGCCGGGCGTGAGGCCAGCCTCCTGAGAGGGGGCGTGTCCACCGCAGGGCAGGCCTCAGGAGGCCGTGGGGTGCGGCCGGCGCGCTCCGTCAGCCTTGCAGGGACATGAAGACTCCTCCCATCGCGTGAGCACCTGGGGGCCGCTGGCGGTCCCCAGTCGGACTGGTTTCGTGTTGCTGCGTCGCAGGGGACAGGGAGGCCCGCGGCGTGGGGGTGGCGGGACAGCCGGCCAGGAGGGCGGTCAGAACACACGCTCCTGCCCATCAAGGCGCTGGTTTGTGCGGGCAGCTCGAGGTGCCCCCAATCAATGAGAGTGTAACTTCCGAGATCGCGGGGCACCGTGAGCATCACCGTGGGGACAGCGATACAGCTTGAAGGTCGAGAGAGGGTCCCCAGGACGCGACACAGCACACGCCGTCGGAACCGCGGTTCAGACGGACGTCCACACCGGGGATCACCGGCCTTCCGTCTGTGAAAAACGCGGCACCTGCAACGGGCAGCGAGGCAGGGTCCCCCTCCCGCCCCGCCGTGGGGAGCCGTGGCCCGAGACGAGGGCTCCTCCGGCGCCCTGGCTCCACGTCAGTGAGGTTCCGCGTCGTTTCCTCACCCCTTCCGCACTGACCGAACATCCCGGAAGTACAGCGCTTCCCAGAGTTCCGTGGGCCACGTCAGCGATCAGGTGACCCGAGGAGGGGGCCGTGGGCCCTCTGATCTGCCGCTGGTCAGAGGCCCAGGGGACAACCTAGCCTTGCGCCTGGGGCCTGAGGCGTGGGGGCCTCCCCAGGTACCTGCCGGGGCTGGCGTCCGGGATCGCTTTTGGGGGGTGAAGGGGAGCCTGAACTGGCGCAGGGACCCAAGAGAGGGCAGAGAGAGAGCAGACAGGTGGCTCTCAGACATAGCGGCGCCACCCGCGTGACCGCGGGCTCCGGACAGAGCGGAACGCCGTCCCCCCCGCCCACGGGGTCCGGCCCCCGCAGGTGCCTCCCCACGGCCAGGAGGCGTGGGGTGTAGCCTGGCCCTCAGAGGCAGCTGGCTGGGGGCGGGGAGCCGGGGTGGGGGGCGCTCTGAGGACGACACCCCCGCGCGGGGCTGGCCCAACCCCGTGAGACCGCGGCCGCCGGGACCCCAGGGCCTCGGGGCGCCTGCACAGCTGTCCGGAGTCAGAGGGAGGTGCCCTCAAGCCTGTGTGGACTGGTCACTGCACGCACACTGCCTCTGGAGGGAAGCCCGATCTTGGGGGGGGTGGGGGGTTGGGGAGCAGGGCTTTTTCAGCAAAGAAAAAACAATACCCAAAGAGGACTGACAGCCGAGGCCCTGCCAATTGGAGGGGACATGTGTCCTCTGGAGAGGAAGTCAGGGCAGCCTCACAGCGTTCTCAGCACCGCCCAGCAGGACAGCGAACCCTGTGGCTTGCTGCACCTGATGCTCACCAGGGAAAACATCCCCCCCGCCGGAAAACATCCCCCACCCCGGAAGACATCACCCCACCCCGATCTCACCACGCTTGGAAGTCACCCAGACGTGGTGTTCATTTGAACACTCCACCTGTAACCGTTCCAGAAGGAAACACAGATGGGGTTTCTTTGTGACTTGGGGTTAGACAAAGATTTCTTAGGACACTCAAAGGAACTAACCATAACATAAAAATCTTAAATTATAAACATCAAAATCCCAAACTGCTGTTTATCTCAAGACACTGTTAAAAAAATGAATAGACCACATACAAAGAATAACTCAAAATGGCTTCATAAGACCTAAAACTATAAAATACCTAGAAGAAGAACTTCCCTGGTGGTTCAGTGGCTGAAACTCTGTGTTTACCAGTTCAGGTGGCTCGGGTCTGACCCCTGATCAGAGAACTAGACCCCACTTGCCGCACCTAAGAGTTCAGGGGCCACAACTGAAAAAGCCAGCCTGGGGCAAGGAAGGCCGACAAATGCAGGGGCTGCAGCTGAGACCTGGCACAGCCAAGTGAACAAATCCATATTTTTAAAAATCTCCTAAAAGAGAACATGGGGAAAGCTTCACGGCACTGGACTTGACGATGGTTTCTTGGACATAACACCAAAGTACAGGCGACAAAAGAAAAAAAACAGACAAATAGGACTACATTAAACTTAACTTTTGTGCATCAAAGGAATCTGTCGACAGAGTGGAAAAGCAACCTACAGGAACAAAGAAAATACTTGCAAATTGTGTATCTGATAAGGGGTTAATAGACTACATAGAAGACTCCTACAACTCAGCAAAAATCAAGTAACTCAATTACAAAACAAGCAAAGGACTTGGATAGACATTTTTCCAGATTATACACAAATGACCAATAAGCACCTAAAACAATGCTCAACCTCACTAACTATCAGAGAAATGTAAATAAAACCACACTGAAATATCCCCCCCACAAAAAAAAAGAAAGACACCCTAGTGGTTAAGAATCTGTCTTCCAGCACAGGGGACCCAGGTTCGATCCCTGGTCGGGGAACTAAGATCCCACATGCTGTAGGGCGGCTCACCCCACAGGCTGCAACAATCCAGTCCTGGCTTGCTCTGGAGCCCAGGGGCCACAACTGGAGAGAAACCCACACCCCACAGCAAAAGACCAGACACAGACAAATTAAAAATAACATCAGAAAACAACAAATATTGGTGAGACAGTAAAGAAACCGGAAGCTCTGTGCACTGCTGGTAGGACTTTAAACGGGGCAGCCACTACGAAAAACAGTGTGAAGGGCCCTCAAAGAACTAGAACTTGAGCTGAAACCATTTGGTGGCTCTTTGTGGGATCCCTGGGCCAGGAAGATCCCCTGGAGGAGGGCACGGCGGCCCACTCCAGCCTTCTTGCCTGGAGAATTCCAGGGACAGAGGAGCCTGCAGGGCTACAGTCCCTGGGGTCGGGAAGAGTCGGACGTGGCTGGAACGACTGAGCACGCACACACAGGAAGCTCCAGTCCTCTATGTCTCAGCGCATAAAAATTCATCAAGGGGCAGAGTGATAGATAAGAAGTGATTTATTAGAATAGGATGCTTGTGAGGCTGACAGGCAGGCGGTCAAGAGGATGCCATACCCGGAGAACCTAGCAGGCTACAGTTTTATAATCAGAGGAAGCGTGGGAAGGGAGAAAAGACCCCTTTCTTCCGCACTATTGAGTAGATGTCTCGCTTCCATCATCAGCTCCTCCTCCAGCTGGCCAGAGGCGCTTTCTTGACCCTACAGGGTCAAGTTAGGGCCACAGATTACTGTTTTTCATGTGTGCACAGAGCGTGTCCTACCTCACTCAGCTCACGGGCAGGATGTGCGTCTCACGCCACCATTGTTTTATTGTCTGGGGGGCATGTCCCGTTCTTCTGGTGAATAGTTTTGTTGCTAAGCCAGCCTGCTCGGTTTTGTGGTTAAGCAAACCTGCCTTCTTGAGTAATCATTAACTTACAGGGGTCCCCCGTATTTTCTCTGTTTGCAGCCTCCTAGTGGGATTAACTATTTAATCACCTGCATCATCCCTTTAGTCTGTATCAGAACTACCTATGATCCATCAATCCCACTCTGGGCCTTCGTCCAAAAGAATTTAAAGCAGTGTCTTAAGGACATCCTTGCACACCCGTGCGCAGAGCAGCGCTATTCACAACAGCCAAGAGGTGACAGATGAGTGGATAAGCTCAATGACCATCCACACAATGGACCATTATCCAGCCTTAAGAAAGTAAGTTCTGACACGTGCTATAACACAGATAAACCTTGAGAACGTTATGCTGAATGGAACAGGCTGGGCACAAAAAGACAGACCCTGCATAACCTACTCATGAAGATATTTAAAGAGGCCAAACCTAGAGACAGAGAAAGAAGCATGGTAGGTGTCAGGGGCTGGGGGTAGGCGGAACGGGGAGGTGGTGTTGAATCAGATTTGCAAGGTGAAAAAATTCTGAAGATCTGCTTCACAACAAGGTAAGTAAAATTCACATTTTTAAATGGTTAAGATGGTGATACGTTTGTATTTTTTACCACAATACAATGAACAGGCAAGGTTAGACTAGGATAAGATTTTCACAAAGTGTGTGCCTGACAAAGCACTTGTGCCCTAAACGGAGGGAGACCTGCTACAACTCAGTGAGACAGACACAAACAGCCCCAAGGCGGGCCACGAGACCGCCGCAAACACGTCACAAAAGAAGGTACAGGCAGAGTGTAATAGAAAGAGTGATTAATACAAGCGGATTTACTACTTAGCGGGGGTAAACAGAATTCTAAAGGCTCCGGGAAGACGGACTCCACCGGTGGACCAGCGGCTGAGACTCAGCGCTCCCAGTCCAGGGCCCCGGGTTTGACCCCTAGTCAGGGAACAAGATCCCACATGCCGCAACTCGGTCTGCATGCCACGACCAAAGCCTCGTCTGCCGTAAATCTGGCCCCTGGGTTATTAAGCCAAATAAATGAGCAAATTTCTTTTAAAGACTATAGGAAGAGAAGGTCAAAGCAGCCAGCACTTTGAAAAGTTCGGCCATTCCTTATAAGGTTTAACCACTATCTGCTCAGCAATCCCGCCATTTCGGTTCAGTTCCATCACTCAGTCATGTCCGACTCTTTGCCACACCATGGACCGCAGCACGCCAGGCCTCCCTGTCCGTCACCAAGTCCCCGAGTTTACCCAAACTCATGTCCATTGAATCAGTGATGCCATCCAGCCATCTCATCCGCTGTCGTCCCCTTCTCCTCCTGCCTTCAATCAAAGAATGCTCAAACCCCACTTCTGCTAGGTATTTATTCTGTTTATCTAAGAGACAGGAAATCATGTATCTATAAAGACTTGTTCACAGCAGCTTTCTTCGGCCCAAAGTGAAAGCAATCCACATCAGTAGGAGAACAGATAAATAAATGGGTGGTTTTTATACAATGGATAATAAAAGAACAAATCATTCAGTCATACAACAACATGAATGAACCTCAAAAAATGCTGTGCAAAAACTAGCTGACCAGAAGAGCAGTGCTGTAGGATTCCATTTATATGACCTTCTACAGCAGTCAGAACTGATCTACAGTGGGAAAAACTAACATACAGCGAAAGAGATCAGAAGGGTGCTTCTTCCGTGGGAAGCCTTTGGTGCTGATGGAAACAGCCTGCTCTCTTAGGGAGGGCGCGGCTGCGTGCATTCATCAGCACCTTCAGGACTGTAATTCACACCCACATATTCCCTGTGTGTATGTGCTAGTGCGAGAGTTAGCCCCTCAGTCGCGTCCAACTCTCTGCGACCCCGTGGACTGTGGCCCTCCAGGCTCCTCTGTCCATGGGATTCTCCAGGCAAGCATACTGGGGTGGGTAGCCTTTCCCTTCTCCAGGGGATCTCCCCAACCCGGGAATCAAACCTAGGTCTCCTGCATTGCAGGCAGATTCTTTACCGTCTGAGCCACCAGGGGCGTTCTCAAGGAAACATTTTTAAGAGATCTGGTAACATCTTTTCACTTTATGCTCTTCCCAAAGGAGGTTATTTTGTAATAACTCTAAACAACCAATAGTATACAAACAATAAACTTATATAACTCTCCAAATTGTTTATAAAAATGCTTCCACAAAGCTGGAAGAAGTTCTGCTTTCTTGTCATAATTGCTCATCAATATTTCCAATTTTTTTTTTTTTCATTTTTGAGGCGTTCCCTCCCATTACCGGGTTGCAAGCCAAAAATTTAGAAAAACCTTATCTACAGACCGACAGCCGCTGAAACAAAACCTGCAGTTCTGAGAGTCGGTCGCTAGACGGCAGTGCTGCTGCTCTGACGGCTCTTAGTTTAGGAGAAAAAAAGCACGTCCCCCCTCCCTTGAATAGGTTTCTTGAAACTCAAGTATAAGTAGCGCATTATGAAATGCAATTTAAGCAAGAAAATATTATGTAAGAGATAATGCGCCTCCCTCTAATTACAGGTCTTCAAAAGCGGGGCCTAATTTAAGATTCCTCTAAAATCTTTGCCTGTCATCTTTCAACATTATACTACTTCTCTGAGGTTATAATGGCACATTTCTCTTGCTTAAAAAAAAAAAAAAACTCTTCAAGTTAATGTTCTAAGACTATTGTTCCAATTCAAAAGCAAATCCAGGGATTAATCCAGAGCATGCCAGAAAACAGAGCGCTGTTTTCTGCAGCACCTCACATGGTGTTTAGTCACTCTCCCAGCCTCTCTGCTCTGGTTTCCAGGGAGTCCTCACTCGCTGTCGGGGACTGGGTCATCCCCGCTTGTGTTCCTTAATGTTCAGGAAACTTCCTGGTGCGGAGAGAAGATGCTCAGAGACAGTCAGTCACTTGAATTCCGTGATTTGGATACTGTCTGTGCTTCTAAAAGGAAGCCTGCGCTTTTCAGAGTGGGAAGCAGTGGTCAACTGTTACTTTCAATTCAGACAAGTCAGAATGTATAGCCTGGAAGCAAATATCCATGGCCGCACTGAATCTAGACCATGTCAATTTGCCTCGGTCTCTTTTTGTGATTTTTAATACTTCTCCTACCAAATCAGTTCAGTCACTCAGTCGTGTCCAACTCTGTGACCCCATGGACTGCAGCATGCCAGGCTTCCCTGTCCATCATCAACTCCTGTAGCTTGCTCAAACTCGTGTCCATCACGTCAGTGATGCAAGCCAACCATCTCATCCCCTATCAGCCTCTTCTCTTCTGGCCTTCAATCCTTCCCAGCATCAGGGTCTTTTCCAATGAGTCAGCTCTTCGCATCAGGTGGCCAAAGTGTTGGAGTTTCAGCTTCAGCATTAGTCCTTCCAATGTATATTCAGGACTGATCTCCTTTAGGATAGACTGGTTGGATCTCCTTGCAGTCCAAGGGACTCTCAAGAGTCTTCTACAACACCGCAGTTCAAAAGCATCAAAATTCTTCAGTGCTCAGCTTTCTTTATAGTCCAACTCTCACATCCATACATGACTACTGGAAAAACCATAGCTTTGACTAGAGGGACCTTTGTTGGCAAAGTAATGTCTCTGCTTTTAATATGCTGTCGAGTTTGGTCATAGCTTTTCTTCCAAGGAGAAAGCATCTTTTAATTTCATGGCTGTAGTCACCATCTGCAGTGATTTTAGAACCAAAAAAAAAAAAAAAGTCTCTGTTTCCATTGTTTCCCCATCTATTTGCCATGAAGTGATGGGACCAGATGCCATGATCTTAGTTTTCTGAATGATAAGACCCAGTCTCCCCGACAGTCAGTCTCTCCCATCAGGAAGCTCCCATAAGCCTCGAATCCTTCTCCATCATAGGGCAGACAAACTGGAAACCACAACCACAGGAAATGAATCAAACTGATCACATGGACCCCAGCCTTGTCCAACTCAGTGAAACTATGAACCATGTCATGGAGGACCACCCAAGACAGATGCGTCATGGTGGAGAGTTCTGACAAAATGTGATTCACTGGAGAAGAGAATGGCAAACCACTTCAGGATTCTTGCCTTGAGAACCCCATCAACAGTACGAAAAGGCAGAAAGATAGGACACTGAAAGATGAATGCCCCAGGTCAGCAGGTGCCCAATATGCTACAGGAGAAGTGGAGAAATAACTCCAGAAAGAATGAAGAGCTGGAGCCTAAGCAAAAACAACATCCAGTTGTGGACGTGATGGTGATGGAAGTAAAGTCTGATGCTATAAAGAGCAATGTTGCATAGGAACCTGGAATGTTAGGTCCATGAATCACGGTAAGGTGGAAGTGGTCAAACAAGAGATGACAAGAGTGAACATTGACATTTTAGGAATCAGAGAACTAAAATGGACTGGAATCAGTGAATTTAACTCAGATGACCATTATATCTACTACTGTGGGCAAGAATCCCTTAGAAGAAATGGAGTATCCCTCAATAAAAGAATAAAAGAATCCAAAATACAGTACTTGGATGCAATCTCAAAAATGACAGAATGATCTCTGTTTGTTTCCAAGGCAAACCATTCAATATCACAGTAATTACTGCCCCAACCAGTAATGCTAAACAATGCACAGTTCTATGAAGACCTACAAGACCTTCTAAAACTAGCACCCAAAAAAGATGTCCTTTTTATCATAGGGGATTGGAATGCAAAAGTAGGAAGGCAAGAAACACCTGGAGTAATAGGCAAATTTGGCCTTGGAGTACAGAATGAAGCAGGGCAAAGGCTCATAGAGTTCTGCCAAGAGAACGCACTGGTCCTAGCAAATACTGTCTTCCAGCAACACAAGAGAATACTCTACACATGGACATCACCAGATGGTCAACACTGAAACAAGACTGATTACATTCTTTGCAGCTGAAGATGGAGAAGCTCTATATAAGTCAGCAGAAATAAGACAGGGAGCTGACTGTGGCTCAGATCATGAACTCCTTATTGCAAAATTCAGACTTAAATTGAAGAAAGTGGGGGAAACCACTAGACCATTGAGGTATGACCTAAATCAAATCCCTTATGACTATACAGTGGAAGTGAGAAATAGATTTAAGGGACTAGATCTGATAGACAGAGAGCCTGATGAACTATGGACAGAGGTTCATGACATTGTCTCCTGACAGGGATCAAGATCATCCCCAAGAAAAAGAAATGCAAAAAAGCAAAATGGCTGTCTGAGGAGCCATTTCACAAACAGCTGTGAAAAGAAGAGAAGTGAAAGGCAAAGGAGAAAAGGAAAGATATGCTCATTTGAATGCAGAGTTCCAAAGAAGAGCCAGGAGAGATCAGAAAGCCTTCCTCAGCGATCAGTGCAAAGAAATAGAGGAAAACAACAGAATGGGAAAGACTAGAGATCTCTTCCAGAAAATTAGATACCAAGGGAACATTTCATGCAAAGATGGTCTCAGTAAAGGACAGAAATGGTATCGACCTAAGAGAAGCAGAAGATATTAAAAAAGAGATGGCAAGAATACACAGAAGACCTGTACAAAAAAGATCTTCACGACCCAGAAAATCACGATGGTGTGATCACTCACCTAGTACCAGACATCCTGGAATGTGAAGTCAAGTGGACCTTAGAAAGCATCACTATGAACAAAGCTAGTGGAGGTGATGGAATTCCAGCTGAGCTATTTCAAATCCTGAAAGATGATGCTGTGAAAGTGCTGCACTCAATATGCCAGCAAATTTGGAAAACTCAGCAGTGGCCACAGGACTGGAAAAGGTCAGTTTTCATTCCAATCCCAAAGA